GCCATGCCCGCACCCGCAGCCGCCGCCATTACTGATCTACTTGCCCTAGCAGCCCTAGCACCCGCCATCTATCAAACCCTATTGCTGGATGCGATGCGATGCGACGCGACGGGAGTACTCTTTCTCTCTCGCACCACGCCTTTTTTATTTTCCTTTCTACCGCCTCGGAATCGATCTTCGTTGTATTGTAATTTGGATTTGTTATTTCAATTAAGCTTTTTATCATGGTTCTTTAGGTTTGCAAAATTATCATATTTCGTCCCTAATGTTTTTTTGTGACATCAATAATCTCTAAGATTACTCTTCACACATCAAAATGGACATTGCTGTTAACTTCCATCAAATTTTCTATTATGTAGCTGACATGGCACGTGTGTGGCACATCCAAAATCCAATAGTATACATTCAAATGGCTTTAAATAAAATATATTATATTTTAAATATTTTAAAACGTAAAATCCAAAAAAAAGAAGCTAATCATTTTTGTTGAATTTCTGCACTCGTTTTTACCCAGAACCTGTCTCTGCAGCGGGCTTAGCATAGTTGCAGTACACTAGGGTCCTTTTTTGTTTGACCAAAACATGCAAATCAATGAAACCCACAACCAAGGAAGACGAGGGAGACAGGAGGAGGAAGAGGAGGGAGAGAGAGGCAAAGAGTGGGTCAGCGAGGGTTGGAGGCGCTGGTAGAGGGAGAACGCAGATAGTACATGGTTTTTTTGTTTTTTTTTGGATTTTAAGTTTTAAAATATTTAAAATATAAAATATTTTATTTAAAGCCATGTGGACGTATACTATTGGATGTGTGGGCCCCACACGTGCCACGTCAGCTACTTAACATAAAATTTGAAGGAAACTAACGGCAAAAACCATTTTAATATGTGAAGGGTAACCTTAGGGACAATTAGCGTCACAAAAAAACTTCAGGTACGAAATACAATAATTTTGCAAACTTAATGAACCATTTGTGATAAAAAACCTTTCAATTAATTTGGCTGGACCGGACTGCTGGTGCTGCTGTTGGAATTGGCCACATTAATATAAAAATAAAAATAAGAAACACTCTTTAATTTAATCTCTTTTTTTTTTTTTTTTTTTTAAAGGTTTCTTTCTGGGAGTGAATAACATACATACTTGCATACAGAAGAAAAGCAGCTGCCTGATTACATACATGTTTTTTCTTATTTCGAATACCAAAAATAAAACAACACACTCGCTAAGCCACAACAAGAACACGAGACAGATAATCGGTGATGTCAGTTGACTCGCTTCCTTCTCGTCATTACAATTAGTAGAGATCTCATTTCCACCACAACACTTGCTAAGCCAGTACTTTTTACAATAAAATCTAATTCTGATTAACAGTGAGGTTGATAACTCAATAGTGGCGACGTTGACTACAATAGGGTGCCCACTTGTGCCATCCCTCTTTCTACCATCCCCCTCAGAACTGAATCTTCAGATACACGAGTGTTTGTGTCTGCTGTTTCTACTTCTATGATGTTTCTCATTTTCGGTTTTAACATACGAGTAGGAGTGCCTATCCCTGCTCTTTTTATTTCTGTTTTGCCTGTTCGTGCCAGAATCTTCAGATGAATAAGAATGCCGGCGTCTGCTCTTGATACTTCTAAGGTGCCTATCAGGCTCAGAATCTTCAGATGAATTATTCAAGCTCTCTCTGCTCCTGTCCCTTCTCCAATGCCTATCAATTTTGGAATCTTCATATGAATGAGAATGCTTCTGTCTGACCTTTCTACTTCTATGATGTTTTTCATGATACAAATCCTCAACTGTAAAAGAATGCTTGCGTCTGCGCTGGACATCTCTATGGTGGTTGTCAGGTTCAGAATCTTCAGATGAATTAGTACACCTGTCACTGCTGTTGTCCCTTTTGTAATGCCTACAAATCTCGGAATCTTCATATGAACGAGAATGCTTGTGTCTTTTCTTTGTACTTCTCTGATGTTTTTCATTATTTGAATTCTCAAATGAATAAGAATGCTTGTCTCTACTCTTTACTTTATGTCTATCAAATTCCAAAATCTCTGATGGACTCGATTCAGAATGACCATGCTTCTTTTTATTTACCTTGCATATTTTCTTCTTTGACTTCTTATCATCCTCATTAGAAGATGACAACCTGTCTTCCCCACTCATTGGTGATGACTGCTTTTTTTTGTGCTTGGTCTTCTTTTTGGACTTGTCCCTGGGTTGGCTTGGGAAGTTGGTCAGTAGCTCAGGGATGACATCCCCACTGAGGAAGCCTGAAAAATGAATGAGGTTGGCGGTAGTTACCTCACATGCAATACAAAGATACAAGAAAGAAATCATCATGCATATTCTGGAATTGAAAACTAAATACCTCCATACTCGTCAAATATGTCCTCAGCAACTATTTGTTGGTTGGGGTCATCTGGTTTAAACCCTCCACGTGGAGGACTAATTCCTGGTTTTTGCTTGAGCTCCCACTTTAGAGGCTGCAAAATAAGCAAGATATAATATCTATATATATATATGGTCCTAGTGTTTTCTTTTTTTTTTTGTGCATCATAATCATATAAGAATGCACTACTCAGTTTCCAGGGATGTAGGGCACTATATGTATAGTAGAAGCGTTTCAAACAGAGCAAACAGGAGAATCCTTCATTATTGTACGTAAGCATAATTTTGAGATTATAACAAACAAATAGACAAGTTAATTAATCTATTTATATACTAATACACAAAAGTTGATGTTAGAGCCAACCTTTTGAGAGCAAAACAGAAGATATAAATATGGCTCAACCATATGTAGAGATCAAAGGATGGAACAATCGAAACAGACCAAGAAGCAAAGTAACAAGCTGGGAAAAGAAACAAACCAGAAATACACACACACGCAAACAACTGATCGGTTACATTAACCAATCCACTTCATAACTGTAGGCGAGAAGAAAGTGTTCCACTACTGTCTAGAACATATATGTATATATATATATATATACACACTACCTTTCCTGTCACAGATTCACAGCTACTTTACAATTTCTTCATTTACAAGCTATAATTTTGTTGGAAGGCTTTTTCTACACAACTTCATTAGTTTCTCTTACATCTGGATGAGCAAGAAAAAAATACTACAGGTAAGTTGAGAAGTTGGATAGAATTTTGGCAATATACAACCAATATATGGTTGAAATTTCTGTAGATGTGCCTCCATCAAGGAAATAAGGCATTTTGCCTTTAACAATGATGGATGGAAGGAGGCTATAACTGTGAAAATTAAGAGTCACTAACTTAGAAATTTACTTAAGTTATATTTATATTCTACAATTGTTGTCTAACATCCTGACAATGGTCTACCATGCTTCCATTTCTCCAGCCATAGTAAACTGCATTCTGTTCATGGAAAGAATAATGAACTGTCACAATCTGACTTAAATGACTGACCCAAACCAGGTGACCGTATCCCCAATTCATAAACTTGCTCCAAATCCGTAAGTAACACCAACTAATTCTTCCGCTACATAAATTATAGATGCAAAGAACTTAAAGATGAGCTCGATCATGTACCAAAATATTTCTGGAAGAACAATGAAATAACAAGAACCACAAGCAAAAAGAAAATTCTTCCTTCAAGAAAATTATTATACTTGGTACTCACTGATCTCTCCTAATACTAAGAGAACAGTACTTGCAGTCTGCAACAACTTAAATATTAGTAAATGAAATGACACATTGAAAACCAAATTCTCTTAGGTTAGTATTACGCCTATTCTTTGAAGTTATGAGGTGTTCTTTGAGGTTTCTGAGATACAATCCCAACCTATAAGAGTATAAGATTCTACGTGGGAATCCTAGAAATTTTACTTCCTTTGTTTTTCAGTATTAATTAGTAGTGATCAAAACCATAACCTGTTTATCGACAGTCTTTCCCCTTTTATTCCTTACTTTTCCAGCGGCAGTAGTTTGAATGCTATGACCAAAACCACAGTTTCTTGCCTCAAGCTTCCAACTAAACCACATGTAACAATCATCCTCCCAATTGTTTTTATGGTCTCCCATAGACTAAATAACACTCTCATTTGCAAAAGTAGAACAATAGGCCTTCCCTGTCTATACTCCAAATGAACCATAATTCTATTCCATAAACCATCCTTCCCCCTACTTACATTGTACTGCCATTTTTCCCCTATAAGCATTATTAAACAACTGAACCCTCCTTATGGCTACGCTAACCCGATAATGGGGACAACAAATTTGATAAAGACTTTTTCCCTTTTTAGATAACTTAAGCTAGACGTTTTATTTACCAAACAACCCTAAACCCTAGACAAAAGTGACAACAAACATATCCTTTTCTCCCAGTTCATTAAATGTAATCTACCATCCCTGTTCAATTTCCCAAACTCTTAGCCAGCGATGCTAAGATAGTAAAAAACAAGTTTATAGAATTAGAAGGCAAACTTCAGAGAGTAACCTTAATGAGCTTAAATCTCTACTTTTCCAAAGGGATCTAAACAAGTTTTGATGGTAATAGAAATCCACACTTCTTTTTATTGGGTAGGAAATATAACGTACACTTCTTTCAACAACAAAAAACAAAACAAAAAAAAACTTCAAAGATCCAAGCCAAATGCTTTGAGCCTTATGCCAGCCTAGCCATGCAAGGCGTCACCTCAAGCACTCACCAATTTGACAGAGATAGGAAAAATTTTGTGAGCAAGGGATATTAAAATCCCCCCCTGTTAGGTTTCAAGATAAAAACAAAAAGACTAACCTCACTAGGATCTGTGTGGGCAAGAATAGCAGTCAAAGGGTCATCCCTTTTCAATCGGCTCTCCTCATTAGGCATTATAGCATCCTTCAACGGACATTCACGATCACCACTTTGGTGACCAAATGCTCCACACCTTACGCACTTCACATTGCGCACTTCAACTCCAAATGGCTTTGCCCTCGTAGGGACACCAGTCTCCATCCTTTAGAAAAATTATTATTATTATTATCATCATCAAAACAATAGAGTAGTATCAACTTGACTGTAGAAATTGTAATGTAACTGTGGGCAACAATTGCAAATAATAAAGCATGTCTTCCAGGCTCAAAGGTACCCTTACATGCACCAACTGTGAGCCTCGGTCACTTTCAATAGAAATAGACACTAAGAGAAACCAACCATGGTACAGAGACAGACAACTGCATCTGTGAGGAAAGAGAAATCTCAGTTCGAGATCTCAACTCCTTTTAATAATAAAATGCATAAGTCAATATATTAGTCATAGATATGCTTGACTTGAAAGAGTTGCATAACAAATTTTGTTGATTCTGACTCGAGTGATGTAACAGCTTCTTGTATGCATTTCTAGAATCACAACCCATCAACTTTATACTTTTAAACAGTACAGCAAGGACTCCGGGGTATTCAGTTAAAGTTTGGGTTATAAAGAAGTTGATGGATCACAAGAAACTGAGCCAAATTCTGAAAATGCCTACACTGAGATAAAACCAAATCTAAGAATCTTATAATCTAATTTCCTAAAAGCATTGCCAAGTTATCAATGCAACCCAAAGTCCGTGAAAGATCATTGTCATAACTAAGCCCCTTTTCTTCTCAGCATCTTAATGTATTTCAATCGGGAAACTATAAAGCAACATAAAAACATTGCATCTTACTGTAAAGGCAGCAACAGGCACACCTTGGAGCATTTTTCAAAATTTCAAATTCTTGTTCCGTTGGTAAAGGACGGCCAAACACGTCTTTGGGTCTTGGTTTTTTGGCTTCTTCGCCACTAGGAGGCATACACTCTGGTGGCCGTGGCCTAATTAGCAAGAGAAAATTAGTCCAAAGATGTAATGAAAACATATCATACAATAAGGAAGAAAATAATAAAATGCATTGTACCTTGAAGTGGAAGGGGCATCTGTTTGCGTTTGTGTTTGTGGGTCTTCAAAGGAGGGGTTATTATGGTGCTCTCTTACACTCTCATCAGCAATCTCTGCAGCTTTGGCACTCTCGGCGTTGTAACCAGGTGGACGAACATACATAAAGCTAACAGCTTTCATCATCTCAATCTACACATTAACTCAATCAACGGGAACGGGTCCTTTCGGAGTTGGAATAATAAGTAGTAAATGGAATAAATAAAGAGAATAATCAAATGTTTTCGAGAAAAAAAAGCAGAAGAAGAAGAAGAATAAGTTTTAGCACCTTTTCCTTGTCTTTCTTGGAGACGAGAGCGGCCTGGCGAAAGAATTCCTGCTCTTGGGCATACTGCGCAAATGATAAGAAAGAGAGAGAACTGAAATTACCAACAGACAAAAAAAAATTGTGATGAAGGGAAAGCATGAAAATTGAGATGAAGGGATGCGAAGGGAGAGGGGGCGGTGGGGACATGCCTCGCGGGAGACCTCCTCGGTGCGACGCTGGTGCTGGGCCTGGATCTGCTCTGCGATCCACTTGCGGCGTTGGTTGGGGTAAGAGAGAGGGTGCCATGGCTTCTGGTTGAGGTAGGAGTGGCTCCAGGCCGTACCTGACTTGGTCTTGTAATCAACCTCCCCTCCTCCTTTGTCCGAAAATCTCTTGCTCAGCCTTATCCCTCCTCCCTCTTCTTCACCTTCCATGTTCGTTTCTTTTCTTCTTCTTCTTCTTCTTCTTCTTCTTCTTCTTTTATTATTGTTCGTATTTTTCAATAGAATGTGGTCTTCTTCCCTTCTGAAACAAACCAGGGCTACTCGGTAGGGTAGGTACTTGTGGTACTCCGTGAACGCTGTATGGAAATTGGAATAGTGGGCTTTACGACTTGGCCCATTCTCCGTTCTGCCTCAGGTGGATTCGGCATATTGGGCTTTACTGCTTGGCTGGCCCATTATCTGGGCTTCTAAATTTTGCACTAAGACAACTTGGGTTTTTTAATTCAAATTCCCATCTTCATTAATAAAGTTTGAGGTTGGGTCAAATAAAGTTCAGGGAGTTGAGTGAAACAAAATAACTACTTTGGAAGTTTCACTAATATAAGGCCCAAATTATAAAAACACTTTGAGGTTGTACTTGTTTTAAGAAAATTGATGACAATTTTGTAAATTATAGGAAGTTCAAAGCATCTTTGTTATTTTGTAAATGGGGCTTAGGTGTGTTTTTTACATGAAATGGACTTTAGAAACACACACAAGCCCCATTTACAACATAACAAAGAGGCTTTGAACTTTCTATAATTTACAAAACTGTCATAAGTTTTCTTAAAACAAACACAACCTCAAAACCTCACCCAAAAAAAACCCAAAACACTCAAAACAAATAGGTAAAACCGAAAATTAGTATATTAAGTAAACTCAAACTCAAAAATAGGACAGTAGTAGAGGTTTTTTTTGTTTGTTTATACAAATTAAATGGTATAGTGCTAATTTATAATACTAATACTCATAATATATATATATATAAATCAAAAGGCAGAGAATGGTGAAACATTCAAAATACTATAAAATGACCTTGATTAATTCAAACATTAAGAATTGAAATTATTAATTACATAAGGATAATATGGTAAATTCATATTTTTTAAAAATTAAAAAAATTAAAAATAATAACAAAATCAGATAATAGGTCATACTTTTATGGAATATAACTACCCATATTATATTTTCTTAATTCTAAAAATAAAATTTAAGAATTTTTTTTTATAAAAAACTAATTGGCACATGCGTGAGCATGTGCTAAGGGGCTAGTAAGTATATAACTAAATTTCTCAATAAACTTGAGAGATAAGGTTATCCAAAATTCACGCATGTGCTAAGGGGCTAGTAAGTATATAACTAAATTTCTCAATAAACTTGAGAGATAAGGTTATCCAAAATAACATGTAGATATAAAAGTGTCGGGGATGGGAGGGAGAGACCTTCGCTAAGGTAGTACATTCTATTTAACACCCTAAAAAAAAAAAACAAAAAGGCTACCACTTTCTTTATACTCCAACGAAAACCACAAGTCTACAGCCTATCAAGAGACAAGATAGTACATGAATTCCTGTCCTTCTCTACTGCTTCAGGCGATAATTTATGGCGTGGATTTTCCACTACGCCAAAGTAGGAAATGAAATGACATTCGTTTATGGATGCCATCATTCTTTTGCATGCTGCTCCTCCACCCAATTTCAGTTATCTTCTCTGGATTCACACCGTCTAGTGTTCCTGGAACTGGCACATACAAATATTTCTTGTAGTGTGGGCCTCTTCTTTTACCGTTTTGTTTATTTCAAACGAATTTGAAGGCATACTGGAACAAAGGACTCCTATCCTTTCAATTAATGAAGCCAGGGACAAATCCATGATTTGAAAACATGGTGGACTCAATGTACATACGTTCTTAAAAAATATCTAATGTACAAACCTATTAAGAATAGAAAATTTCGATGTAAAGCTGTTAAAAACTTATAATCCTATAATATAATGAGTTTCAAAATGTGTTTTCGTACCCCAAAATAAAACTATAAACAACACCCACACGTAAGATTGTGAAGAAAAAAAATTCAAACAAATTACTTGCATTAATCTCATTCATTGCCTTGCGCACAGAGGCATCAGGTATAATGTTAACCATCGATTTTATATTCTCTCATAAGCTGACATCAATTTCAACATTAGATGATGTAATAAACCATATAGAAGGAGACAGATTTGCAATACTCGTTATGTAGAATAGGAACTAAAGAATATATCAACAAAATTTTGTACGAAACAAACGGGTAAGAAGAAACTACAATTTACATGGGTATTGAAAATTAAAAAAAAAATATGGGTTATTGACCGAAATGGTGCCTCAAATTTTGCTTCAGTCTCATTTTGGTCCACCAACTTAAATTTTCATTTCAATAATCTTCCAACTCTCCATTTAGTATCAAATTGGTCCCATTGTGAAAGTCAATTTTGCCATTAAATTTAGGGATAAAATCGTCTATACAGAATAAACACTAATAAAAGTTTAATTAAAAAAATGACTCGTATGCATAGTTTTGCAATACAAATATTTGTGTTGCCAAACACTTTGTCAAGAAAATAATTAACTAAATGGACGAATACAAAAGTAATGAAAATGATTAAACGGTTTCATATAGTTGATTGAAATATTGGAGAGCATATTTATGTTCTTTCCTTTTATCATCATGTATACCGTACAGGATACGAGCAGCATATAGTCAATGTATTCTAAAATTAGAAACTTCAAGTTAGGAATATCGATCTAAAGCTCTGGTACAATAATATTGTATATCCAACTGATCAGGACGAACTCAGAAGGATATATACATATCAAGGTTGGCTCATAATTTTCACCACATGATGATTTTCCCGCTAAGTAATTTAACTAAACCCCCGATCGACTGTAATGACTTTTCATCGATGATCGATCGGTTGAAGAAAAGGAGAAAACTCTTCAGATGGATCGAGACTGATGTGCTGCTGTAAGTAGCTAGGTACTAGCTAGCTTGATTATAATTAGCAGGGGAGGAGGAGAACAAAGACGTGGACATGAACGACGTACGATATGCATCCAAAGGAAGGAAGGAAGGAAGGAAGGAAGGAAGGAACGATATGATCGATGATGATATGATGAAGGAAGTGAATTCATGAGTTACCTCAAGCGCACTCGATGGAGTGCAAGATAAGCAAGAAGGCGGTAACCCAGTAGCATTAAGGCGAGAATGGAGACATCTATCCACAAGTGGTTGAGGCCACCCATTGATTTGATGGCAGGCAAATCTCCAACACGGCAGAGGACTCCTTTGGAGCACTCATAATAATCATCCTCGTCGTACTGAACCCCAAGAAGAAGCTTGTAACAGTAGTAGCTATAGCTCAAGTACTTTAACCAGATAATGAAGGCAGGAATCTGTTGAATATAGTACCCGCCGGCGATGAGGAAAACAAGTGTTGTAACAGATGCCAAAGTAGTGGCTTGCTTTATGTCCATCAGAATGGCTCCAATGGCTAAGCCAAGGCTCTGGGACACAAGGACGTTGTAAAGAACCACCAGTAGGGAGAGGATGAAAGTGAAGGGATCAGGTTTAAGCCCTCCCATCCAATAAATTATTACCACAAATGCTGTTGGGAGTGCCAGCTCCAGTGGCAGGTCTCCAACTGTTCTTGCTAGGAAGTAGGACGAAAGCTTGTACATTCCTGATGACCTCTCTTTTATCAGCATTCTTCTTTCTTGGGGAAATGTGAAAACTGCATTGTAAAGTGGGTAGAACCCCCAGAACACGGAGAAGAAGAAGAGCAAAGCAATCTGCAAATTTACCAAATATCAATTTTATTAATTCATTTTATTATTGTTAAAACTAAATTAAATAAATAATACATATTAATTAATTCTTTTTTTTTCTTACACGGTCTTCAATGTGAGACGTGGGTGTGCGCCACCAAAGGAGTCCACCAAGCGTGGCCACACTTATTACTTGGAAAATTCTTAGCCTGTTGAATGCTTCATACCTTCGCTCCCTCAGCCCCCTCTGAAGCAGCACCTTGAACTGCTGCCACCAGCTTGTGCACCAATGTTGCTCTGTACCTTGTCCTGCACTACACCACTAGTATTAGCATTTGCAAGATCTAGCAATTAATTAGAGGGAATAAGGAAGAAAAATATGAGAGAGAGAGAGAGAGAGAGAGAGAGAGAGAGAGAGAGAGGATATGTTTACTTGCAGAAGCATCTTTCATGTAATTATTGTAGTTGTTGACCTCCAAACCAGCACACAGCTCAGCTTTCAACTTTGCGCAAATATTCTTTTCGTAGGCGGAAATGAGAGCTTTTCTCACGGTCTTCTGATCCTGTTCCATGTTCTCGCGTTGCTCAGATGCATGTTTTGAATCAGGGGCGATTCCTGTACGTACGAGAGAAATTCAAACAATCAGGTGCGTATGTATGTATGTACGTATGTATGTATGTATATATATATATATATCCATGTAGGTACGTACAAGACTTAAAGACAGACGTAACAGTAACGTACGTACCGTTTGCAAGATCTAGCAAAAGATCTGCCGGATTGAGACTAGGCAAGGACGTGGAAAAACCAATGGAAGAAAAATAATCTAGGGCTGCGGAAGCAGGGCCATAATAAATGGGGGAGCCCTCGGAAAGCAAGACGAGCTTATCAAACATGTGGTAGATGCGGCTGGAGGGCTGATGAATGGTGGTGACGAGGGTTCGACCCCCACTGGCCAGCCTTTTGAGTATGGTCAGGATTCGCTGAGCTGTAGTGGAGTCCAAGCCTGAGGTGGGCTCATCTAGCAAAAGTAAGCTTGGGTTGATTAGCATCTCTTGACCTATACTCACCCTTTTCTTCTCTCCACCTGATATCCCTCTAAACAGTGGGCCCCCAATCATGCTGCTCCGGCACCCGCTCAATCCCAACTCACTGATCACGTGCTCCACGTGCTGCACTTTCTCATCCCTGCTCAGGCTCCTCGGCAGCCTCAGCAGAGCCGTGAACACCAGAGTCTCGGTTACAGTGAGATGCGGGTATAAGACGTCGTCCTGGGCAACAAACCCCGTTCTTCGTTTGATGCTTCCGCAAAATGGCTGACCATTGTACGTGATCTTTCCTGACATAAACTTGCAATTATTCTGATGATTGAGGCGCCCTCCCAGAGCCGTAAGAAGGGTGGTTTTCCCACTCCCAGATGGCCCTAGCATCGCCAGTATCTCTCCTGGGCAGACCGTACCTGTTATCCCAC